TAAAATGAAAACGAAAATATTTAAAATCAAATCTTTTTTTAAACTTAAATAAATTTATATATAACCATCTTGGTAAATATTATAATACATAATATTATAATCTATTAACATAATTTTTAATATACAGATATATATCGTTCGTTGCAGTGGCGTATTTAGGATTTTGTCATGGGGGGGGGGATATGATTTTATCCAGTACTAATCAACTCGAGGGGGGCTCCGCCCCCCTCACCCCCCTAACTTTAAATACTTAAATATAAAACTACAATTTTTTTTTATTTTTATTTTACAAAACAAAGTCTAGTTTTCTAGATGTTTTGGACAATTGAAGGGCTCTGTGCAATAACCAGACAGCTCCGTTTTATCATTTTTTCAGGAAGCACATATTTAATGTTTAATATATATTTAAGTGAAGAATAATAAAAATAAAAATTATTTTATATACTTAAAATAGTGATAAAAACTGTGGTACCCTTAATTAAGTTGATACATGAATATTTTTTACACTTTTAGCCACAAATAAGAAATTTTTCTTGGAGTTGTCTTGTTTATTGCTCGGAGTTATTAAATCTTTTTTTTTTTATTTTTTTTATAATGTAAAAATCTTACTAAGAATTAGTTTTTTTTATTTAACTGAGTTAATAATTATCATGTAATTATACTATCAAACAGCATACTTGAGTTTTAAGAAAAAAAAACTAAACCTGTACATGATTTTAAAAATAAACAAAAAAATAGTTATCATTTCTGGACAATAAACAAGATAACTCCAAAAATGATTTATTGTTTTTAGTTTTAACTCTGATAAATATACAAATAAATTTATTAAAATAAGTGTATAGAAGTCATAAGTTTTTCCACTAATAATATTTAGCTATATATAGTTTAAATATATTACTTTATGAATTTTGTTTATTCTTCAGTAATATTTCTACTTTAACCACTTAGTATTATGTTAACTGAAAAATTAAATTGTTATTCATTTAATTTTACACATGGAGGTATATAAACTATACTGGAGCGCGCACTGCGTATACCGTCCGTGTAATGAAAAACGAGCCGACGCGTTCGATCGTTTCCCCCACCACTGCAGGGCAACTTTAATGCCATGTACCGTATGGCGTATAATAGTACGACGTACCTACTACCTTTACGTGTATAATACATTATTTTTTTCAAAAATTATTAAATTAGGAATCAATAAAAATAATTTAATATCATTTAATTTTTGAATAGCAAAACATTAAAAGTATTAGCCCTTAGTATAGTATACTCTAATATATATTTGAGAAATACAATACTTATCATTACTACACATACAATATAAAATTAAAATACTAATGAAAATATTTATTATTTCCTTTAAAAATATTAATAACATATAATTTAACATTCATTTACATAATATCATACTAAAATAAATTACATTCAAATTATAAATAAAAGTATAAAAACAAATCAAATACACTCAATGAGTAGTTTTAACAGTTTAAATATTGTTAAATAAAATTAATTTTGTTAATTTCTGCCTTAATGATGATTTATTTTTAAATACTTGTTTAGAGTTTATTTCTTTGGCATAATGACGCATTCTTATATTAACAAAACATTGACTTAGTGCAGTAAAGAGGCTATACTCATGACTTGTGGAACCAATATCAACAGTAATAGGATGTGAATTTGGGAAAAAAAATAGAGTACTTTTGTTCAATATATTTTTTTTTGCTAACATTACAATGTTTTGTTTCACATTGTTATGTAATTTTTTATTTATAACAACAACAGCTTGAAAAGAGTTTACAAGCTCTTGAATAATATAAGTGATACACCTGATGAAACTATTTTCAATTTCCCCCGATTTACAAAAGATGTAAAATTTGCATCTTTTACATAGCTATGATCTGTTAGATCACTTTTTACTAATATATCAATACAGTAAGGACACATAACTTTTTTGCAAATATTTTTTACAATATATCCAGCAATATAATCAAGTATTTCATTAGTATATTCAATTAACTGTATTACGATTATTAACGAAATAACCATTTTTGTTCATAAAATATATTAGAATGTTTTTGACGAATTTTAATTTTAATAGAAAAATAAGGTTAAAGACAAAAAAACAGCATAAACAATTAACCAAGAGTTCAGAGCCATGAGAACATACTACGTATAGTGACCGGCGTGTGGTAATCTTTTGCCCTGCAGTGGTGGGGGAATCGTTCGAACGCGTCGGCTCGTTTTTTGATAACGAGTGCGCGCTCCAGTATAGTTTATATACCTCGATGATTTTACATAAAAACTGGCTATCATACCTTAAAGATAGCGATAGGTAATAATATTAGTCATAGTAGAATGTAAACACATTTAACTACATTATAAATGATATGAACATGGTAAAAGATAGTAAAATAAAAATATTAGTAACATGGATATTTTATTTATCAGCTTGATTTTATCAGTCATTACATATAATATCTTACAACAAATAAAATAATAAAAACCAATGAAATATTTATAACAAAACTATTAATTAACTTGATTTTTCATCAATCATAGTTAAACAGTAAAATATTTGAAACAAAACTAATGATCTCCTTGATTCTTAAATTGTATAATAAAAATAATAAATAATATCACTCATAATAATTCAAATTTGAAATCTTAAACAAAATTATACTTCAAAACAATAAAATTAATAAAACAAAACTAATAATCTCCTGATTCTTAAATTTTATAATAAAAATAATAAATAATATCACTCATAATAATTCAAATTTGAAATCTTAAACAAAATGATACTTCAAAACAATAAAATTAATAAAACAAAACTAATAATCATTTTGATTTCTTAATATTCTAAAATATATTTTCTTTAATATTAATATTAAAACTGAGTAACAATTTTTAATACCTAGTCATCTTTATCATTGGATATAGTACCATTGTTATCTTGATTAGAACTGGTTTCTTCAACTAAAGATCTATAGAACCAAATGTATTCAGGTGGAACATACTTTGATGCTAGGCATTGCACATCAACAAACTTGGCAGATTTAATTTCTAATGATCCATTATATAACAATTTAGAAATAGTTGCACATAAAGATTGTATATTATTCTCTACTCCTTTTTTTTTCAAGGATAAATTTTTCTTTACCAGTAGAATGTCCAGAAATACTACAAAATAAGCCAGCAGCTGCTCGAGCGCTCTCCTCAGTCCTCACTCTTTCGACGGCTCCCGGACTATCGTCTAATTTAGATTTAAAAAAAAAAAAAAAAAAAAAAACTCAACTCAAGCCTTGGGGGGGGATCAAACCCAATGATCCCCCCCCGTAAATACGCCACTGGTTCGTTGATTGATAATATTTTAACTGTTATTGTGTAGGTATCAGACATTTTAACGAAAACACAGCATCAATAAATGCCTAAATAGTTACTAGTTGCACACTTTCCCTCAGAAACTTAATAATTATAGTATATTAGTTGTATATACCTGCAGTAGGTATGCTAATGCAACTTGCAAGTATACTAATACGAATCTATTCATAATCTTACCAATAACTTTATTTTTTGTTTTTCAGAACGTGGCCATCACCACAACATCGTAAACAAATTATGTGAAGTAAAAATGTTTTCTTAACTTCTTACACCAAGCATTAAAGAAAAATTACGCCCAGGGATCAATCCCCGGCTTCCCCTCCCCCCTAGTTCCGCCACAGCAGACACACAGTCCGACAGTGGTGTCTACGTCATGTCGTGTACTATAGGCATGGACATTAGAGAATGAACTCTAATTCTCATGAGTCATGTCTAATGTAGCCATGTTTACATGTAGGGGTTGAATATTTGAATTTTGAATTTCTAGTTAGAAATTTAGAATAGTCCAATTAATATCTTTTTTCTATGGTCGAATGATATGATATGAAAACGGAGACATTTACCAGCAACCACAAACCAAAATTTGATAATGTATTATTACCTGTAACAATATACCCGGTATAGCTGCTTAACCTACCTGTTAAGACGAAAGATAAACTATTTGAAATCACGGACTAAGATATACAGGACTGGACACGAGATGAATATTGTGGTTACGAAATGTTTTACAACAGGCGGAGTTCGGGGGGATATTTTCCTTTTAGCATTACTAGCGCCGTCTTAGTGGATACTTATGGAACTAGAAATTTGTATGATGTGTTCTAGTTCCATAAGTATCCACTAGGACGGCGCTAGTAATGCTAAAAGGAAAATATCCCCCCGAACACTGCCTGTTGTAAAACATTTCGTAGTCAACCCCTCCACACCCTCCAACCTTGTCGTGTCCAGTCCTGTATATCTTAGTCCGTGTTTGAAATGTTATTTGTTACCGCTATTGTTGTTGTCATGTGCCCATGTCCGATTGTCCAGTGCAATTTATTTTATTATTGGCAAGGTGGATAATATACTTTGTCATGTATAAATATCCATCTTGATTGTAGGTACACAATACAAATGGCGCGAAAATCGACATACCGAACGTTGTATTCTGATAATGATATGTGATGATAAAATATTGAAATTAACTACTAAGAAATAAGAATAATAACTATTGTACTATTATACTGCTATTGTTATTAATTGTTATTTTTTACGATGTTGTAAAATAATATTTATTCTTGTTAATTGTTATTTATATATTTTATTTTTACTATATAATTATTATAATAATTATATATTACCTTCAGGTTTTATTCATTACGTGCGAATTTATGATATCTACCTATTAAGATGGTTAATGTCGTACATCATTGCAATAGTGCAATATTCAATTAATTAACACGACTAATAGGTAATTAAAATTCCGTTGTGAAATTATAGCCTGCAGGGCTAATTTAAAGTAACTTTCAGTGAACTGTATTTCTTGTTGAGGTAATTTCAACTTAAGTGTATGCTACAGCGTTACATTTTGCTGTTGTCCTAATTTTGAACTTAAGATTTTACAGATAAAGAGAACAATGAATAAAATGAATAATAATAACTATTATTTGAAGAGGAAAGATATAATTGTGATATTTGTTAATTTATTGGTGCTGTCCCTAGTTATATATATTTATCATGTCGTTGACGATTTGAAAACTATGCTTTCAAACGAAAGGTTATGCATACTTAAAACATCTTCAAAGACTGATTTAACTGATGGTGATATAAATGAAACTTATTTTGACTTTACCAAAATGAAAAATTTAAATATTAGACACACCAGGTCGGCCAAGTCTACAAAATGTAATTTTATATTTTTTTCCAAACATGGATATTGTTTTCATATTTTTTTAATTTAATTTTCTTATTTCCAGTTCAAAATATGTGCTTGTTCTACTTGGCTCAACCAAATATAGATTTTGAACAAAATGGTAGTTTGTACAATATCATTAACTAAAATTTTATAAATCTGTAATTTACTACGTTTACACCTTGTCCACAAAACTGTATTGGGATTTTAATAACTAAGTTTCTTATATTGTTAATGATAGTCCAGTATGATCGATTTTTATGCAACAATGCATTAAGTAAATAATTGCTTCTAAGTGTTTGGACAGATTTAGTAAGCCTGGTTGATTTCCTATCCTGGTGTAAACGTAGTATTTGTCGAATTTAAATTCAAATACTGACCATCATTTTATGAACAGGTATCTTGGGACCATGGATTTTGTCGAATAAAAGTTTACCTGTTGATTCGTATTCTCCTGTAAAATTAACTTCAAGAAGGACTTTGATAGAAATAGTTGACCCAGGACTTTATTTAGTTTACATACAGGTAATATATTTTCTTACTGATACATTTACCCTTAAAGAGTGCCACAAATGAATCAGTTGTCTTTGTCTAATGCATAAATATTATAATGTGCTAAAAACTTTTTTATTCTTAAAGAATTTTGGTTGTGTGGTAAAAATTTAGGTAGGTATCATTAATAATTAACCTATTATACAAACTGTTTTGTTTCCTTAAAAACTTTTCTAATAAAATTTTAAAAACAATACCTGTCAAAATACAAATAAATTTCACAATTTCTTAGTTTCATCTGTATGATTACAATAGAGAAGTAAAAAGAGCAATTTTTACATATAAACTGAGATACCAAATTGCATTGTACTATTGTTGCATCCTTTTAATAATGCTTAGTGTGCCCCAATAATACAATTTTTCAAGATATATAACCATGGTATATTTTAAAGGGACAGAAAGCAGAGTGCTTATAGTAAAATAGTGTGAATTAGTTCTGTACTTAATGAGTTTTATTTATTATTAGGTATATTATTTGTCATCTACTAAGAAGAACAGTTTTTCTATGACAAAAGTAACGGCTGGTTTAAATGAAACACTGTCTGTATGCAGTGCTGTGGGTGTTTCTGGAACAGAAATCTCGTGTTTCACATCTATTGTAGAGTATTTCAAACCAGGAGAATCAATTTTAATTAGACTTAGGGAAATGTCAACTGGTATAAACCTCAACCGTAAAGCTTCTCACACTTACCTTGGCTTTACTAAGCTATTGTAATAATTTCATCTCTATAATACTGTGATAAAAATGCCTTTACTCTTTCACATTTTTTGATATATAATTTGATTTATATTTATATTACTATATTAATTTTTCAATAAACAGTATTATTTTAATGTTATTTAAATCATAATATTTTGTTATATTAAGATTGTTTTTTATATTTTTTGGAATATATCCTTGTATACATTTGTTTCTATTTATATTTTTATATAAATATTGTTAAAAAACATTTAAATATGATTAAGCCATCTTAAGTTTATTAGGATTATAACAATACTGATGACAATCATCAAATAACTAGTTTATGTTATAATATATATAATATAAATATATATATATATATATATATGTATTATGTATATAATATGATTATTATTTATTAAAGACCGTTGACGTATTGAATAAACTACTTCTTTATTATTTTAACTTGCATATATCAGCAAAAACAAAGTTGGTAACTCAGAGACAGATTAGCACCATCTAAGTGAATATAATTTAAGCTTATGTATACATATATATATATATATAATTATATTATGTTATAGGCATAATTCCCATTTTTTTTAGTTTAATGTTATGATCAAATTATATTATTAAAGATTCATCTATTAATCTTCGTTCTGTAAAAAGTTAACCATGCACTTGTGGCATTGTATTTGTAAAGGATGTTCTTGCATAAGTTGTAGTATACGCCGTGAAAAGTATCTACACAACGGAGCTTTGCTGCACAGTTCGTGGGATCCTTGTATAAATTTCGCTTCACATTCTGATTGTTCGGATTCCTAACATTTGTAAAAATGTTATCATTTTTATAAATCTAGAAATTAATTTTTAGGTGTTGAATTTTACTTACACAAGTACTACAAACGCGGTAAAGCATGCACACGGGCAACATCAAGTCTCCAGCTGATCCCCCCAATTCTAAACAGTTCTGAGTTATTTGTAGAAGTTGAGTACATTCGTGATCTAACAAAAAATGTGAATATGTTATATTGTTTTTTTCATGTTTACATTAAATTCAGCTGTACAGTATGTTACCTTCTTTATTTGACTCTGCTATATCCAATGAATTCATAGGTTGACTGTTATTTTCTGCAGGCACAACAAAATCTGCTTTTTCATATTGTTTTTCTAGAACAAAAAATTATATGTATGACTTTATGTCATAATATTGTTATGTACAATTTTAATTAATTGATTTATTATTTGGATATTTCATATTTACCAAATAATTTGGTATTACTTGCCTTGCATCTCGTTATTTTCATTTCTAAGTTTTTCAATGTTGTATGCTTGATTCAAATTTGCGAGTACTTGATTTTTGACGTTGTTTATTTCTTCTGGATCGTTGGTACCTTGATTAGCTCCCGTATATTTCAGTGCGTCGTTAATTAGTGCATCTTCCATCCACATTAATTTGTCATCTTTTAGATTGATATTGTTCATCTCTTCGTTTTCGTCATTTTCTTTCCCATAGGCACGAATATATTGATTTAAAATGGTATCGTCGGATGGTATGTTCTCAATAGATTTTTTCCTGAAAATTAAAAAAATAAATAGGTACAGGTTATAATAGTACATATTTTATAACAAAGTCATTAGTAACACACTTTCGATCGTATCCAAAATAATTACTCCAATCGATGGACTTTTTTTTCAAATCTATTTTGAGGTTGTTACCATCCACTTCTGGTTTTGCTGTTTGATTTACACTATTATTAATGACTGTTGTGGTGTTGGAGTTTGTGTTTGATTCCGATCCAAGAAAAATATTATTAAGCTCGGCGGCCACTTTTGGGTCCGTGTGCGATTCATTTAACGCGACATTTTTCTTCGACCTCTTCATTAATCTCGGCTTTACCCATTTACTTCGATACTTATTGTTTCTTCTCGCATGATACCTGGGAATGAACAAATACTGCCTTTTCATCGGGCTCCCCCTTTTATAATAAGGATCGTAAATATTTTGATATTCATCCGGTATGTTACGTTTTTCTTCCTGGGACCTCAGAAAACTCTCTAGTTCTTCGTCTGACATGCCTTGTACATTTTCTTCGATGTATTTGTCTATAAGCGTATTCAACGCATACAAATAATCACCTTGGTCTTCCATATTGTTTTTGTAATCCTGTTCTATGTTGGGATTAGTTTTGTATCGTTCGCGAAAAGCAGAAGGCGTCGCGTATCTATCATATTTCAGTTGTTGTAAATTTTCCGGCATGTCTGAGCCTTCCCTCTCACGGAATATCGACTTTTTACTCCACGATTTTTGATTGTACTGAGGATTTTCATTAGCCAAATAGTTGAGAAACTTTTCAGCCACTTCATCTTTGTAAATCTTATTGCTTGGTACTCGAACGCCCTGTTCAAATATATTTTCTAAATTTCTCAAATTTTTTTGATAACCATAGCCAATATCTTCCGGTTGACCGTCATCTAAAATTGAAATTTAAAAAAAATTGTTAGGCGTATCACGTTCCAATAATCTTATATTACAATCGTAAAACGAGGTACCTATCTTATATCTATATTATATTAGAACATAATATACGTTTTTTTCATAGTTTAGTATAATAATTGCAATCATTATATTATACAGCTTTGCTATTATAACCTAGCTATTATACCTAGTATAGTATAATATTAATTTGTATACATTATTAATATGTATTTGTATCGTGTAACGTTCATACAATTTGTAATCTTTGCAGTAGCGTGCTGGGCCAAACAAATTGTATCTACTCGCAAGTTGCAGGGGGTGCGTCATTATTTTACATGGATCTATATATGAGCTTTTATAGAAATTAGAAATGTGTATAGCTATATTATATTACTAAATAGCTCAAAAGCTGGTGTCTATTGGGCTTGACCACCCCAGGGGTGTGTTCACGCCCAATAACCCGCTGACACGGTCCGCGTTCACTTATAACTATTAAACGTAACGTATGATGGGTGAGAACGTATAATATATAGGTGGAATTCCAAGGCGTATTTGTTAGATGTGATGGTCCACTTGTGTCAGCCCTGCAGTATATGCCTGCACAGCACCTACATTTATATTAATATCATATCATTTTTTTATTTTAAATGGTTGGATTATAATTTACCTCTCTTTATTTTTCAATTTGGTATAATTATAATTTGTAGGTACCTAGCTATTTCGTGGATAAGAGGTCACAAATGTGAAATTGGTAATGATCGGAATTTTTATTTATATGTACGTTGAATAGGTACGTGTATCATATAATATAATAGGTATGTACAAATAAATAATATATACGTTTCACTGTTTCAGCAATCTTATTTGCGTATATTATGTTGGAATATATACGCTGAAAACTAGAATTATAAATACGTACCTATATATATCTAGACATATATAAGATTTATTTTAATAAAAAAATTAAATACATTTTTATTTTAATTAGTTTAATACTATATTCATCAAAGTGCAAACCTTGAATTAAATGAATATTCTTTTAATCGTGAAATACATACACACACACACACACACACACACACACACACACACACAATATTATATTATACTATATATACCATATATATATATATATATAGATTCGATAACATTTAATGTTCAACAATTAATAAACGTGTATAGACGACTAGATTTAGTAATAGATTGTTATATAACTTCAAACTCGAATTGTCTGTATATACATCTAATTAAGTTACTTTTAGTGCTTATATTTGATGGATTAGGTAGTCGTGTCTTGTAAACTGTGAGCTTTATCTAGAATTCTCTTATATTTAGATAGATACGTTCGGGCAGGGGAGGAAGACTTGCAGGCGGAACTGGACATTTTTTTATCCGGGTGGAAAATTATATACTATAAATTATAATATTATCATAATCGCACGAAATACAAATACGTGTATTATTAGTTTTATTACACAATGTCGGAAGTAAGGGAGGGGCAAAAGCACGGGATAATATGATTTTTGAAGTGGCTTCACCAGTCGCACGTAAGTATAGATAATATACCTACATAATAATATATTCATATATTATATAATATTCCTAAAATGGCTAAACGTTAATTGAATCGCTGGGACTTTTTGAATTGCAGTATATTCTACGTCAGATTTAACCTTTGAGCCTGCTTCAAATTAGTCTATTTTTTTGTGGAGTGTGTAGGAGGAATCCTTAAACGGGTCTGTATAGTAGGTATAGTGAAACATTATCGACCGCATGTCTATATAACCACCGAATATATAAATTGATATAATATACGTCAGTTGTAAGTCATCACTACAATTTGAAGATGTAAATAGGCAAAAGTAATTTATAGATTTACGTGTGTATTATAATTTATGATTTACCTATATTAAACATATAAATATGTATAAGGAATCGTTGCCGGGCGTCGGCTATCTGCAAATAAAGACCGAAATTGCAGTGGGGGTGTCGTTTATTAGTGTCATTGTGTCAATCACTTGATCGGATTACATAACACTAACACTAACGGACCTAAACCAAAAAAAAAAAAGGTTTGCACCCCGCAATGATAAGGGTAATTTCTAATTGTATATAGCCAATCAATTTTCAATTAAGAGGAATTGATCAAGTTCCTAGTGTGGGGGGTTGGGGCGATCGCCTCCCATAAAAACCACAAAATATATAGGTATTATCTTAACACGTCGATACGCAGCAACGCAGCCCGTACTTATATAATATTGTATTTTACAGATTTCTCGCAGCCCCTCCTCGAGTTAAATACAATTTTGGCACCCCGGACATAACAGTACACTTTTAATCATCTACATAATATACAGTCTTCATTTTGTGACAAATATGGCGTGGGACTCGAGTATATATGAACAAAAATAATCCCCACCACTTTAGTAACACTAATCTTGGAAGACTCTGTATAATATACCTATTGTACATTGCTTCAATCCCTCGGCCGCCCTGCAGGTCTCGGTCTAGCCCTATCATATATTCTATACATATTACATAGCAAAACCTCCTTAAAACGGACCCCTACCTCCTACAAAACGGAAATCTCTTTACAACTTACACTCGCACATATATCACGCAACGGGAAAATTGCATTCGGTTCCTGGCGATTCCATCGATTAAAGGAGGTTATTCGCAGTATGCTCATATTGATCACCACCACGGCGTGCAGGGTACCAACCTGTGTTCAAGTAGACCGCGGCCGCCATCCGCGGGGGTGTCGATCCCAATTTGTCCGAAATGGCTTCCAGCGCGGACCGCAGGCTGTCGTCGGTGCCCCGGACGCCCAGCACGGCCGCCGCGGTGCACGCCATCACGTAAAAAGCGCGCACGGCGAACGTGGCCGGGACGCGCCCTCTCATCTTTCGGGTGACGGCGCGGACTTTGGGCAGGATACGACGACGGACGGTTTCGGTCAGCCGCGGATCGCCACCTGCACCACCACCGGGTGTAGCGTATATAAGGCGGACGACTGCGTGAGCGGTCGAGTGGAAGATTACGTGTGGTCAGAAAATGAAAAGACTGAAGTGGACGACGACGACGGCGAAGACGATGGCGGTGCGACGACGACGACGACGGTTGTGGCGGTGACACGTTACAGGTGGTGGTTGCCAGGCAATGAGAGGGCTGCGCACGAAACGCGGAATGAATCAATAAAGTCTCCCCGTCCCGAGGGGGGAATTTGGTGTGGCGTAAGTCGCATTTTTGCGTGGGTGGATCGGTTTGATGCGGGGGGTGGGGAGTGGCCGGTGTGGTGGTGGGGTATAGGGGGCGAGCGGCAGCTGAGTGTTAAATCTGATGTATAAATATACTAAATGCATAAACGTCGAGCGTGTCAGTAATAATTATTATATCGTTTTATACATTTCCATTATAATATATTAAGACGTATCTACGTAATTATTCAAATAATGCTAACATGCCTTGGCGCCCGTCCCCAAAGGCAGTTTAAAAAAATAATAATAATATAGCATTTTATTTTAAGAGAAGGCCGAAAAAAGGTTTTAAAAACCATATAATATATCACACTCTTTAATTTACAAATCAATCGAAATAAAATATTTAAAATCATTAGTATTAAATGTACACAGAAATTCTATAGGTATAATGAATTAACGTTATACTAGTAAAAAAATGATTTTACTTAGTATCATTACGTGCTATACACTGTCAAAAAACCATATAGGCAAAACTGCACATAAAATATCTCGTGGGTGGTAAAATTAAAAACCATTTTTGTTCATTTTATACTCACTAAGCAATTTGTAGCCAGTTTACAGTCAACAGACTTACAGTTTACAGACTCTTAAATTTATAAGGCTAGAAATCTACACTCGAGTACCTAAAATAAAAACGTACTCTCCCTGTAAAGTGTCAAGGTCAATTTCAGTAAATTGTAACATAATAATATCATATCATATGTCAGGGGCTCCTTTCATTTTTAAAACAGCCAATAGGGCTGCAAATTAAATAATTAAGTGGGTGTGGGCCTAACTTTTCCACTACAGGCCACAGAAGTTAACGTAAAATGCAAAGTAATCATGATTCTGGTTTTTACATGGAGACACAAAATACATTTACTAAAAGCCAATACCAATACCATAATAAAAGTTTTTATTTTTATTTCCAAATAGTTTTTTTTAATAAATTATGACAGCTGTTGTCAACTGTCAGAACACTACTAACTTTTTTTTGTACCTACCTATGTTAATTGTTGAAAAAAATTATAAATTAACTTTCAAAATTATAATTAACTTGTTACTTTTTTTATTTGGTCTACATTACTATTGAGTTAAAAAGTAAATTCATAACAATTAAAGTAACTTTTTATTTCAAATATATATCTTGAGCTCAATTAGTTGTTAATACATTAGATAGCCAAATAGTGATTAACAATAAAATAAAATTATATAAAATCTTTGTTTAAGAGGGCGCTCCATTAGCATGGGTTTTAAAGCATAACTTAGCAAATTGTACTTAGCATATTTAGCTCTGTTGGTTAAAAATTTAGTAAATTGACCTGTTATAACATTTAGAAGTAAGAATATTATATAGTGAACCTCCTAGGTTTTTTTTATATTTTAATTTTATAGCAAGTTATAAGTATTATTATAAAATTGTAAAATGTTTGTGCTTTTAAAATACTTATAACTTGCTTTAAAATTAAAATCTAAAAAAAACCTATGAGTTTCACTAGATAATAATCTTACCTTTAAATTTTATAAGAGGTCAATCCACTCTAATTTTTAAACTAACGGAACTAAACGTGATCTGCTGAATGAAAAATTGATATGTTATGTACTTGTAAGATGGGGACAACAAATGTCCATGTAACGTCGTCTTAAGAACCAAAGTACCACGGTCAGTAAAATTTTTATGTACATTAGTCTTTATTATAAATAAGTAAATAACAATGTTTTCTCCTAATTATAACTCATTAAAAATAATACTTTCTTTATCAAACACAATATTTTTGGTAGGTATTACAAAAATTTTAATGTCAGAAAATCGTACTTATATGATCTATTTGCAATTATTTTTATTGATTAATTTAATGGAACAATATTGGGCAATAAAATGTTGTTATTGCAACCTAAAATCATACAATGTATATTATTTAAAAGCACTTTATGCATCTGAATAACAAATATTCAAAAAGTATAACATCACTGTAAAATAATTAAACTATTTATTTAATTTGTTGAAAGTGTTGTACCTATTATTATTTATTTATCTAAAATTTACAATAAAAGTTATTATTTCATCTTACTAGGTATTGTTATATAGAACTTGTTTATAATCCGACATTTTATACTCAGTCAGTATTGTTCAAGAAATTTATTACGATTTATTTTTTCTTTGATTTGCTTTTTATTTATGTCTTGAACACTGCAATGATATAATATAATATATATAATATTATCTTAAGGCGCCCGGTGCCAATGTAATTTTGTACACAAAAATACGCTCTACTGGAATAATGATTCTGTTCTGTAGAATCAACCAAATTTGATTATTTTTTTTAAAACTCTTAATGAGTAATATTCTATAAGACACAATGAACTCCATTTTTTAATTTTTTAATCTTAAACTTTATAGTATGTCTTAAAAAATAATACAATGTTAAGCGTTTTTTTATAAACTATATTATACTAAATAGAAATAAAATAAAAAATCGGCATGTAGGAAGATTTCTTCTTTCAGATAAAATATAGTTATTAAAATTCGACAATTCTACCAGGATTGAGAATTATTCCCGTGAATTAATTTTTTTTATATAATACACCCTATACATTTCTCCTAAATAGGTGCGGGGTAATAGATTAGTGGAAAAGTATTATAACGAAGGTGGCAACTAAAATATAAAATTGAATTTTCAAATTTTATAGAATTGCAGAAAATTTGAGAGACTGACATTGGGCCCATTAACTACATCATATTCTATTAAAAATTATAAATACAAAATTTATGTTTTAAATGTTTATTTAAAATATGTTTACTTCATCATTATGACTTTTTTTTTTTTGTTAAATGTTTTTAAATTATATTGTTTGTGTTTTTTGTGGCTTCTTTCATCATCTAATTCTTCAATTGCTCGATTGTCCATTATTCCAACTGTAGGTAGATCATCTTCTTCTCTTTTTCTCTTTTGTTTTTCTGGACAATCTTTGGCAAAATGGGTAACATCTCCACAAGATCTAATAATTTTAAAACATTTATAATAAGATTACATATAATAATTACATTATTTTCGGCTATTGATACTTTAATAACATAACTGTTACAGCATAGATAGGTATTCAGTTTATTATGAATAGTTGATTTTTAAAAATACAATAAGATGTGATAATAAACTATATGATTCTTATTTATGAAAAAATTTAACCAGTAATATGATAAAAATAGACTAGAAAACATTTTATTTGCTGTTTATACTTTAATTAAATAAAAAGTTTTTTGTTAAACAGTTAACAAAATTATACTCTCAACATCAGTGTAACAAAATTGATTATTTTATGTAGCTGAAATCTGATTAAATTTTAAGTTGGCCATCAGTATAGGTTAAGTTAGCCAAATCTGTTTTGAATAGCATTTTAATTTATAAAATTAATAATCTCTTTTTATCGTTGTTCTATTTCTATTCAAATAAATTACCGGCAAGCTCCTCCATTTGGATATAATCCCATAGGGTTATCTGGACATTGACGGGAAAGATGTCCTTCTTCATTGCATATAAAACATTTGGCAAAATCAAGTTGACCACTGTTTCCTGCATTACGACATTCGTGTAATTTGTGTTCTGTCGATCCACACCTGAAACATCATACTTGTATTCTATAGTAATGCAAAAGTTATAGATAATATGCTTCTAAAAAAGTTGTAGTTGGAACAGTGAGATACAGTTAACACTAATTAGTTTTCTACCATATTTGTTACATGCATCCCACACAAACAACTTACTTAAAGCACACTCCCAATGCTGTGTTGGTACCCAACTCCGGGCATTGGTTCAGCATATGACCAGGTTGTCGGCAATGAAAACATGCTTTTTGTCTGAGCCTGGAGAGTTTCTTCTCAGCACGTCGACGCATTGGCATCAATTGTGTCTTCAGCTGATGTCTAGGCACACCTTGTTTAATTAACTTGAATTTTTCCACTCGCAGTTTCACCGCGTCCTCTTTCAACACGCTGAACCCGTCAAATTTATCCACGTTCGAATACGAGTCGTGCTTGCTACTGCGATTCTCTTCCGACACTTCCACCACGTTTGTCGTGGACTCGTCGTCTCCGGTTTGCTGTGGCTTTTCTTTCATTTCCAACCATGGTGTTGCTTCCTCCGGTATTTTTTGGTTAGATGATTTAGAGCCTCGAGCTCTGGCAAACCTCGTCATGTTCCTGATTCCGCAAAATGTATACTGTATTCTGTATGTGGTTTATCTATGAGTTAATACGGTGAATGGTGAATGCCGAATGGTGATTTTATAATATGTTATATATAATACGGCGCCCGGGTGTCACAGTGGCAACTGGCAAGTCCGGCAGGCGGCAAGTGGCAAAAGTGTTAACTATACACGACACACGTGCTCACAATTTACGAACACTATTGAGTGATAACTGATAACTGATAAGCACTTGACGCCCCCATTGAACTATATAAAAATTATAACCAGACAGCACGATTAAAGATATACCTTGGATTTTCAAAATTATTTTTCTAAGTCTTATGTTACAAGTTTGAATTTATTCAATTTTTACAACTTTTTAGTTTTTGTATTATTTTTTGTTTTTAGCAACGTAATCAAAAATCGAAGTCCAATGCGCCCTGTAAAAAATATTCCTCTATCTAACAAAAAAAAAATTACGAAAATCGGACCAATCCACGAGGGGTGAGAGTTTTTCCTGTAAACTGTGTTTTGACCGATATAATACACCCTATCAACCCCCCCTTAAATAGGTATTGGGTAGTAGATTAGTGGAAAAGTCTTATAATTGAGGTGGCAACTAAAATATAAAATTTAATTTTCAAATTTTATAGAATTGCGGAAAATTTGAAAAATCTCGACCAGGCCCCTTAACTCGGAGTTGAAAGGACCGGCCAAAAAATTCGAGTTATACAAGGATAATACAATTATAAGAAATTCTAGGAATCGAGAAAAAGTTCGAGGTGTAGGTGATTTTGAGTTAAAAAAGTTTGAATTAACCTTGGTTAGCTTGAAGTTCGACTGTAATAAAATAGAGTTGTATAATGTCGTAGCAGTAATAGTACGTAGCAGTAAGTTGTGTAGCCCCGTTATATCGTTGATAAGAAGTAAGAACATTGTCGTAAATGAAAATCATAATACAGCAAGTATAATAAATTACTTATTGGTTATTTGTAATTTGAATAGAGTAGACAGTGTTTTTAATTTATTAATTAACACGTTTTTGTTATATGAAAATGAAACCGATTGTAACTGAAACCGAAGAACACTGAAAAAATGTAATACCGAATGATAAAACATACAATGTACTATCAAGGATTTCTATTACACATTGTTTTGGATTGGTTGGAATCATAAAGTAAATTATTTACAAATTATAGTTATCTGGTTAAAACTTAAAACATAAAATAATAATTTACATTTTACAGTGTGTTTTGTTTTTAAGTACCTATTTGTGTGTGAAGTATAAATTATTATTAATATTTTGCTTTTTAAATATTTTTTTACTTCATTTAACATTTGTTTTAAAAACTGCATCGTTGCCACTTTGATTTTGATTTATATTATTCATTTACACTATTAATGCATTGATTCATTTATACTAAATAGTATAAAATATAATGAATTACATTTATTAAATTCTATTATAGTTACATACTTGCAAATGTGTAATTTAGGTAATGATGTTAATATAAATGTAATAATGTTATAATACCATCACTTTATTTATTTATATGATTAATGGATAAATAATTTACATTTAACTTTTAGCAGATAATTATGGAAATAACATATGTTTTATTTTTAGATTGTGTATAATGGATGACAATGAAATGAATATTGCAACTTTTGTTGACTTTTTTGATTTTGAATTGCCTGGAAATGTATTCAATAGTGCCATTGCATTAGGAGATGTGGACAATGACAATGAAATAGAACTGGTTATTGGTAGTGTGGAAGGTGATTTGTTCATCTTTAAAGGTCATCGGCTGATCCAGAAAATATCTGGATTAGGCATAATCACTGCAATAGCTATTGGAGACTTAATGAACTGTGGCAGTAACGCTTTAATCGTTATATCTGGTGATGGCTGGTGTCATATTTATTTATGTTTAAAATTTAGTAAATTGGATCCATCTGATGAATGTGTTATGAAACTTGAACCTGTACATGATCAGCGAATCCCAGCCAACACTAAAGTAAATATTGAAAATGAACTAAATTAAAATCTATTCAGTGTTATAAATCATAATAATTGTAGGTGATTTTACTAGGTGATATAGATTCCGATGGGATGTTAGAACTAATTGTTGGTTTAACTGACAGAGTGGTACGTTCCTATCGTTGGAGTCAGAGTGCGGCTGCTGGACGACTAGTACCATTACATAAATGGGAATGTGCTAACCAAATTGGATCGATTATATTGATTAAGGACGTTAAAAATCGACCATGTTTACTTGTTTCTCAACCTGGTGTCACTGCAATGCGTTTTTATTGTCCCATAGCTTTTCCAGAATTAATGTAAGTTTATTAAAATAATTTTTGTTTGTATTATTAATAAATTATTTTATTACAGTGAAAAAACAATTGAATATGAAAATGAAAATGAATTGCCCATAGAACTTCTTAATCCTTCAATATCCTCAGTAATGATAGGAGATCTCAAAGTAGATTTAAAATGTGATCAAGAACTGTTTGATAAAAATGATCATTTATATGGAATTGCTTCTTTGAATGGTTTGGTTATGTTGGCGAAAAAAGAGACAATTTTGTGGTAAATTTTTTATTGATAGTTAATATCATATTATGGTTAGAATTTGTGATTTATATTCAGTGTTGGATAAATTATGTTACTAGTTACAAAATTAATAGGTAACTAGATTACTTTTTCATTACAAAAATACAAATTAATAGAATTACTTAATTTTTTTGACTCAAAAGTAACTAGTTACAATGGCATTACTTTCAACTTTTTTAGTTATGTAAAAATTAAATGACAAAATTAAAAACAAGTAATTTATACGTAGTTAGTCTAGCGTTGTTTCGATAAATAAATAACAAAGTTATTTTGCTTAATGTTACTCAGAAAAGTAACAAGTAACTATTATTACATTACTACCCAACAGCCAACACCGCTTATATTCAATTTTTTTTAATTTTTAGGAGTAAAAACATTGATCAAGAATTGTTTATCATTAGTAAATTGTCGATAGCAGACGGTGGCCCTGATTATTTAATAACATGTTCATTGAATGGAGATACTCTTATTGTGGATCAGAAAAGTCAACACGCAACATTTAAGTTTGGAGAATCTGTTTCTGCTTTTTGTTGTGGAATGTATACAGTAAAACCAAATACAAAATCTATGCCTAGTTTTGTGCTTATAACTAATTCACAGAAGGTATATACATTTTATTTTTTATATAGTATTATTGACTCAAATCTTTTGTAGATTGACCAACTAATAATTAGACTTATTAAAAAATTTCTTTTAAATTATTTTAGATTAAAAATAATTTTGCAAGGTGTATTAGATTTGCATCTTTATAAATAATACAGTGAAACTTCCATATTACAGTCTCATGGAGCATAAAATAAATTTGTATTATAGAACATTTTGTTAAATAGAATTGAATAAAATTGGTTCTAAATTGGTTTGATTCTCAAAAATATTTTGTTAAATGGAAGTCTGTTGTACCTATGCAAGTTTCACTATTATAATTTAAAATGTATAAAATATTATACTTTATTCTTTTAGGTTTATATTTATTATGGTTTGAAATTACCAAATACATGTGTCCAGAGTTTATCAAAATGTATTGAAAATGACAATCACCTTTCAAAATTTATGGAAAAGTATGAAGGACCATCAAAAAAAAAAATTATTAGAGACTGTCTTTATAAATATAATCCTAATAAAATGTAATATATTTTTTCGCAGTAAGATATATTTTGTTATATACAATATTTTCCAAGGTGATTATTTTCATTATTATGTATAATTAATTTAAAAGATTACTTAACAATTACTGCTATTTTTTATTTATTTATGATATTTAATAAATAATAGAAGTTTTAAATTTTAGAAATTTAGAAATGTTTTACTTTTTAAATGATCAAATATTATAACTCTGCCCTCTCTTCTTATTTTAAAAATTACATCATTATAATCAATAACACTATATAAATCTCTGTAACCTGGTGGCCTATGGTATAAAAATTTACCATTAAATATTTTATACTTCTAGTTGTTAGCCATGTATAGACAATGCACATTGTAGTATTCTAATTTATATAATTTTGACCGAAGTCGTATTTTTTTTGCCGGGACCCAGGTGTAAAGATTCCTAGTTCCTAGTTAGATTTTGAATGATAATAATTGTAAGTTCAAAAGTAAAAAAGATTTATTAGTGGATGTCACTATGCTGTAGTTGGTTACAAGTGGGTCACTGTATAATGGATGGTATCAAATTTGAATGTAATGATATATCATATTGTATAGGTTAAAAAACGAAAAACGATTTTGAGCGGTGACGGTTTGTCAGTGTGGGGTGTCACTAATCACATAAACAAATTGTGCCCCTAAGGTATAGAGTGATTATTTCTAATATAGAAAAAAACTGTCTGATCTATAACATATTACTATAAAATATCTAGATACAATAATAAATAATGAAACAAAATATGAAGGACCAACTTAAAAAAAAAAATAAAAAAAACGAAAGCTTGCCGTCGTCGGAATTTTATTATTTTGAATAGTCAAAAATATTTTAAGCAATTCAGATGACCCTGATGAATCAAAAGATGATTTAGTAAATAATAATATTTTATGTTATAATGAGAATAATCAATCAGACAATGCTATACACGATGACCCTCAAAATATAGGCATTGAATTGAAGAAATAAAATATGAACAAGTTATTTGGGATTCAATTAAAGCCAGTGTATATTTATTAGTTGACTTTATAGGAGGACTACAAAAAATCACACATTACAAATATGTAGTGTTGTTCAATCAGGAGATCAAGAAGACGGTGATATAATAGTTATGGGCCTAAAAAAAAAAATGATAGTTTTGGAATAGAGTTATACAGAAAAGGATGTTTCAACTATTAATGCAGAAATGGTAGTTGCCATTTTACCAAATCCAAAATTCATTATGAAAATCAGGAAAGTAGTTTACCAATTTAATGGATATGTTTCTGTTAATGAAAAATCGTGAAAAATAATTTTACTTTTTATATTTTAAACCAAAAAGCTGTATTTTCATTTAATATTTAATAAGGCTATATTAATATATGATAATAGGCAAACTAAGAATTTATTTTAGATTCTGAGTGAAACGATGAATGTATTGATTTTACAATGATGTGTGTTTTTATATTTATTTTTTTATTTATTTTTTTTGTGTCTGTGTACACGATAAGTAGTCGAAATAACGCTTCGATTTTCGACTTCAGTATCTTGTTCGATTGGAAAGTGAATATCGTTGGTGCATTGGGGAGGTCAAAATTTAAATTTCCCAGTAGTTTTCAAGAGCGCCGGGAAAAACAACATAAAAATTAAGGAAAAAACGGGAATTTTTACGCAAAATCGGGTTTCCAAAAAATCGATTCTGGTTTTTGGTGTCACTTTAAAACAAATGACCGTAGATACATGAAATTTTCACTGGTTGTTTATATTTGCATCTTCTATACACGATAACATTTTCAAAATATTTTGATTTATTTTGAACAGTTTAGGGACATTTTCATTTTTCGTTTTTTTTTAGTTTTTTTTCTAGAAATATCAATAAAATTTTATTTGTTGGTTGCGAAAGCTTGAAAATTTAATAGAAGGCTCCTAATATATTGTTTCAAAGGCAGATGAAAAATATTAAAAATCCTTAGTCACAATTTTTTTTTATAAGCATTTAAAGTTCAAAAATTGACAAAATATGGAAAAATCACGAAAATTAGCAAATTATTTTGAGTTAAGAATTCGTAAAAATTTTTCTTTTTAAATCTAAGATTTGAAAATCTAATACAAGATTACTCATAAGATTGTCTACCTTTATCAATAAAAAAATCTCTACCGGAAAGTCAAATTAAATTTTTATGAGCGTTTGAAATTCAAATTTTTACAACATTGGATATTCACTCGATTTCTCATGTGGCAATTTCCTTTTTTTGTTGTAATTAAAAAACGAATTACTGTAGATACATGAAAATTTCACTGATTGTTTATATTAGCATTTCCTATACACCATACAATTTTGAAAATATTTTGACTCTTTTTGAGCCGTTTACGGACATTTTCAGTTTTCAATTTTTTTAGTTTTTTTTTTCTATAAATATCAATTAAGTTTTATCTGTTGGGCCAAAAAGTGTAAAAATTTAATACAAGGCTCCTGATATATTGTTACAATATCAGTTGAAAAATATTAAAAATACATAGGCACAATTTTTTTTATAAGCGTTTTAACATCGAATTTTGACAGAATTTTTCAAAATCTCGAAAATTATTAATCATCGTAATTAATAAATTATAAAATGTTCAGTTTTTATAGCTAAGGATTGAAAATTTAAAACAAGATTCTACGTAAGTAGTTAATTCTCTTACCGAAAAATCTAAAAAATATACAATCACAGTTTATTTTTATAGTCATTTTATGTTCAAATTTGGACGAAATTTCATATTAAAAAACCTAGTTATTTTGTTGTGATTATATAATATTATTCGTGGGTACGGGGTACCTACTTGAAACTTCTAAAGTGTACTATTATATATCTATGATAGTATCAGGGTTTGTTATTGATGTTGATGTATAACATGTTATAAGTACCTAATGGATATTGTGATAATGTGATATGATTAATTTGGAATTTATTATAAGTCAATTTTTTTTTTAATACCATAGATATGTATATAATTTGTCTTAAACCTAGACTGACATACCGTCTTCGCTCAGAATCGTTTTTCTTATACAATGATATTGTATCATTGAATTCAAATTTAAAAGCATCCATTATACAGTGACCCACTTGTAACCTACTGTACAGCAGAGCGACATCCACTTACCCACCTTTTTTTTATTTTTTTTTATATATTTTAAACCAAAAATCTGGATTTTTATTTAATATTAAATAAGCCTATATTAGGTACTTACTTATTTATACCTATAACCTATTATATATTATATTATATTATAATAGGAAAACTAAAACTATAATATTTTTTTTTTTCAAACCAAAAGGCTGAGTTTGTATTTAATATTTAATAAGCCTAGCTATTAGTCCAGTCAATGAATGACCCAAAATGAGGTGTAGAGTGCGTGAGCAGGTAACTTAGCGATTCCTTCAGAAAATTGTTCGGGAAGCTTAGGGTATTAACATACTAAAAGTCCTGACAATTAGGTGGTGAGCCGGAGGGGGGAGGGGGTTAAAGTTGTGCTTTTTAGGTTTTTCGCTTATATATCGTAAACGGTGCATCGGAGGAAAATTTTTTTAAATAACAAAATAAAGCTCATAAAATTATCTAAAACTTTTATATCGTATGTTTTTTTCGAATTCACAACCGTTTTCGAGCTACACCTTCGAAAAAAGTTGAATATTACAATAAAAACCATTTTACCTCACTATATTCATAAAACAATCCATCATATTATCTACCATATTCGTTTTTTTCATTTTTTACTCTGCCACCCCTCTCCTTGGATGACCCTCCCTCAAAAAACATCAAGATTAGGGCCTTAGTGTTTATTAAAAAATTAATATATGCATAAATTGAGTTTTTAATTTTTTTTCAATTTATTCTTGCAATAAAAATGTTATACAACATATTATATTACATATTCTACTTATAGGTATAAATTTAAACTACATCACCATTTGTTCATAAAATCATAATTTCCATCTAACTTCTAAAAATATTAATAGCGATTATAAACTTAATGATAGACTATAGTATTGTTGGCTAGTAATAAATATAGATATAATAGTAAATATTTGGAAATGTTCGAGTGTTCAACTTGTCATTCCGTTACCCGTATGTCTATATAATATTAATAGCTGATCCCCGTGCACTTCGTCGCCCGATAAATGTATCAACTCAATATGACTCAAACTTTGTTCAATTCGTTATTCAATATTCGGTGTATGGTGTTCAAAATTTATTTTATCTTTTCCGTTGCCCGGAATAAAAATTCTGAATCGCAGCAGTACATTATCAGGTAGGCAATCTACCTGCGGTAGAATATCGCGGACCCCGTGCTGTTTGTACGGAACTACGGAAGTGTATGATTTAACTCTAAAGTATTAAAGTTATACCAAATTTATTTTGATATAATACGGTGGATTAATATAACAAATTTGGTTGCTCGTAAAAAATCTAAGCTCTTAAAAAAATTATGATTATTGTTGAACTCCTTTTGGGTGTAACTTGCTGCGGTAAGTGCAACTCAGCCACCCTGGTAGGCAATGTTCAATATTTCGATTTGATGCAAGCTTGTACCTGATCTGCCCGAATAACCAATGGCAACTATTAATAAATAAAAATACAATTTCCAATTTCCATCGTGAATCTCAATGTCCCTGTTTGAGCACCTATTTAAAATGCAAATTTTCCCAAATCCTTTCTTATTGCACGGTGAAAATATGAGAAGAACCTCTATTCCAAATTTCAAGTCCGTACGTTGAGTAGTTTTTGAGATACAGCGATCAGTGAGTCAGTGGTATTTGGATTTTATATGTATAGATAACTAATTATTGACTAACATTATCGGACTTTATTTATGACTAAAGTCTAAAACTCTAAAACCTGCTCCGTGATATGATATTGTATGATTGGAAAAAGTGGCTGCCGGAAAGCAATGCTGACTTATTCTGCAGCGTGCCTCCACTGTCAAGGTAAATGCATGAACAGCGTGCCTGTTGATTCAGAAATCATGATTAATGATTTATTTTGAACTGTTTAGGCACATTTTCATTTACTATTTTTTTTTAGTTTTTATTCTAAAAATATCAATAAAATTTTATTTGTTGGTTTCGAAAGCTTGAAAATTGAATAGAAGTCTCCTAGTATATTGTTTCAAAGGCAGATGAAAAATATTTGAAGAATGTTTATATTAGCATTTCCTATTATAGGTGTATAATACACCATACAATTTTGAAAATATTTTGACTCTTTTTGAGCTGTTTACGGACATTTTCAGTTTTCAATTTTAGATTCTGAGTGGAACGATGAATGTATTGATTTTACAATGATGTGTGATTTTTTATTTTTTCATTTTTTTTTTTATTTTTTTTTGTGTCTGTGTACACGATAAGTAATTGAAATAATGCTTCGATTTTCAACTTCGGTATCTTGATCGATCGGAAAGTGAATATCGTTGGTGCATTGGGGAGGTCAAAATTTAAATTTCCCAATAGTTTTCAAAAGCGCCGGAAAAAACAAAAGAAAAATTAAGGAAAAACGGGAATTTTTACGCAAAATCTGTTTTCGAGAAAATCGATTTTGGTTTTTGGTATAACTTTAAAACAAATGACCGTAGATACATGAAATTTTCAGTGGTTGTTTATATTTACATTTTCTATACACGATAACATTTTCAAAATATTTTGATTTATTTTGAACTGTTTAAGGACATTTTCAGTTTCCAATTTTATTAGTTTTTTTTTTTATGAATATCAATAAAAAATTATTTGTTGAGTAAAAATACTTGAAAATTTAATACAAGGCTTCTACTATATGGTTTCAAAGACAGATGAAAAATATTAAAAATCGTTAGTCACAGTTTTTTTTTTAAGCATTTAAAGTTCAAAAAACGACAAAATAAGTAAAAATCACGAAAATTTGCAAATTATTTCGAGTTAGAAATTCATATAAATTTTTCTTTTTAAATCTAAGATATGAAAATGTAATACAAGATTCTTTATAAGATTTCCTACATTTATCAAAAAAAAAATTCTATAAGAAAGTCAAATTAAATTTTTATGACCGTTTGAAATTCAAATTTTTGCAACATTGGATATTCACTCGATTTCTCATGTGGCGATTTCCTTATTTTGTTGTAATTCAAAAACAAATTACTGTAGATACATGAAAATTTCACTGAACGTTTTTATTAGCATTTCCCATACATCATACAATTTTGAAAATATTTTGACTCTTTTTGAGCCGTTTACGGACATTTTCAGTTTTCAATTTTTTTAGTTTTTTTTTTTCTATAAATATCAATAAAGTTTTATCTGTTGGGCCAAAAAGTGTAAAAAATTAATACAAGGCTCCTGATATATTGTTACAATAGCAATTGAAAAATATTAAAAATACATAGGCACAATTTTTTTTTATAAGCATTTAAAGATCGCATTATGACAAAATTTATCAAAATCTCGAAAATTATCAATCATCGTAATTGATAAATTATAAAATGTTCAGTTTTTATAGCTAAGGATTGAAAATTAAAAAAAAAGATTCTATTAAATAATTCATACTGTAGCCAAAAAATCTAAAAAATTTTTTACAGACATTTTAAATTCATATTTGGACAAAATTACATATTAAAATCAATATTAACGATCTTGGTTTTTTGTTGTAATTTAAAAATATTATTCGGGGATATATGAAACTGAAAAATCAAAATATTATGGTCTATCCGTATGGTCTACCATATTATAAGGAATAAGAAGTATGCTCAATGATAAGACTGTGTATATTTTAAGGGGCAATGAATAATTTATTCATAAATTCCATATAATTTAATACCATAGATAAGTATTTAATGTCTTATACCTAGACTGACATACACAGTCTCCGCTCAGAATCGTTTTTCTTATACAATGTCACAATGATATCATATCATTGAATTCAAATTTAATACCATCCATTCATTGGCGCAAATAGGGGGGGCTTGGGGGGACTTAGTCCCCCCAGATTTCGGTCAAGTCCCCCCAGTTCAAAATCTAGTAATTAGTACTAATTATTATATTCTGTAGTACTAAACATGTATATATTTTAAAAACTTAACCAAATTACAAAATACAATTATTGAAAAAAAATTATTATTATGCCAGTTTTTTTTAAAATCTTTATAAAAAATACTATAACATATCTTAGTCCGTGCCTCGTGGTCAAACAGATAATTGATAACCGATAAGTAATTTATAGGTGATAAATAGGGCTCGGATTTCAATGCATTTGGATCTTTTTTTTGGGATATCTTACGCGATGCTTTCCAAGCTACAAATATGTTTCAAGTACTTCGCAATCCAACCATAATGTTACCCAATGGCCAATCAGTTATCAGTTGACTGTTGTACTGTGCGGACGTGTCTCTGATATTTTTATTTCATCGCTGTTGCGTGTATACGTCGTTATTGCTAAAGTTTCTGAAATGTCGCTCTCAAACTGTGTAGTTTGTTCCAACCCCTTTGCAGAATTGGATACTCCAATCAAATGTGATAGTTGTTCAGGTGCATTTCATACAAAATGCACGGGACTTTCAAGCACCGAAATCAAATGTTTATCGTTGAAAAATAGATCACTTAAATATTTTTGCTCGACTTGTGAACAAGGTTTAAAGGAACTACCTGAGTTAAAATTACTGATTAAGAAATTACTTGTGGAAGTTGAGGGGCTCAAAAATTGCCCTTTACAACGCCTAAATAATGAGGTATGTAATGAATTTATAATCAATGAAATTAATGAGCGTAATAGACGTGCTGCAAACCTTATCTGCTATAATGTTATCGAAAGTGATTCAAACCAGTCCGATGTTCGTATTGCTCACGACCGTGAACATGTAAATAATTTTCTTGCTACTATCGCAGAGTCAACAAATTCGGTACCTGTACCGATCAAGGTCATTCGTATCGGTCGTTATCAATCGAATAAACCGAGACCTTTAATAATTACGTTCGGTTCTGTATCAGATGCATTTAATATCATGAAAAATAAAACCAAACTCTTATCCCGATACCCGATGATTTCACTAAGCTCGGACCGTACCCAATACCAAAGAGACCATATGAAAAAACTTCGTGAGGAATTGGCTTCACGTATATCGAAAGGAGAAATCGACTTAACTATAAAATTTATAAGAGGAGTACCAACAATTATTCAAAAATCTATTATTAATAATGTACAAAATCCCATAAAAAATTTTTAAATTTGCATGTTTTTTACCAAAATGTTAGAGGTCTGAGGACTAAATTAATTTATTTTCGTAATTCTATTCTTACTTTTGATTGTGATTTATTATTTTTATCTGAAACTTGGCTTAATATAAATTATAGTGATGATGAATTAGGACTTGTTAATTGTAATATTTTTAGAGCTGACCGTGAATCTAGTCATGAAGTCAGGCCGGTCAGGGGTGGTGGAGTTTTATTAGCTATAAATATTAAATACAATTGCATTAGAATACCCACAGAAAGTATTGTTGGTATAGATTTTGTTTTCACTTTATTAAATTATAACAATTGTAAATTGTTATTGAGCTGCATTTATATACCTCCTAATACACATAATTATAGTTATACTGCTTATTGTGAACTTGTAGAAAGATTAATTTCCTCTCATTGTATTACAAATATTTTAATCATAGGTGATTTCAATTTACCCGGGTTTATGTGGTCAATCAATGAACCTTCATCAAATAATATTGTTAATTTAGTTGCAAATAGTTTCATTAACTATCTTGATTTAAAACAGTGTAATAATGTTATAAATCATCGCCAAGATATACTCGACTTAATTTTCTCAGATTGTCAAATTAATAATATTCATAAAAGTCTATCCCTTACACCGATTTTTGATGCTTATCATCCACCTTTGGAATTAATCTATCCATTAACCTCTAGTCCAGTTACTCTAGTCGAATCATAAATCATTAACTCCTTACATGTATAATTTTAATTCATGTAATTTTGATGAAATGTGTACATTTTTATCAGAATTTGATTTTATTTATAATTTTAAAAATATGAGTTTGGATGGTGCTACTTATAAATTCTACGAAATTATTAACCATACTTTTGATGTTTATGTTACTAAATTTAAATTTAATCCTAATCATAATCAAAACTTTATGTGGAAAGATCCTGTCCTTCGAAATCTTATTCAATTAAAAAAACAAGCCCATAAACAATTTAAATTAAGTAATTCTCAACATGATTATTTAACTTTTTCTAATCTGCGTAAAAAATGTAAATCTTTATCTGTCCAAGTCCATGCAAACCATATCTTTAAAATTGAAAAAAATATAAATAGCGACTCGAAGTATTTTTGGAAATATATCCAATCCTTGTGATCAAATAAAACTAACATCCCTGCTACTGCAGTTTACCTGGATAATATTGTTTCTGGTAATATTAATGATACAACAAAATTATTTGCTGATTATTTCTCCTCCGTTTACGTTGATTATTCTAAAAATACTAATTTATATGATGACTCTCTGTTAATCAATCATGATATTAATTTGAGTACTTGGTTTATCTCGGAGTTTGAAATTGAGGATATGCTCAGTGCATTAAGTATGCGATCTGGTATAGGACCAGATGGTATCCCTTCATCATTTTTGAAAGCATGTAAATCAGCATTAATTAAACCTTTATTTTATTTATTTAATTTATCACTCAGTACTGGGATTTTTCCCGATATTTGGAAAAAATCATTTATTACGCCAATTCATAAATCTGGTGACAAAAGTAATGTACGTAATTATCGTCCAATTTCTAAATTATCAGTTATTCCAAAATTATTCGAGGCAATCATTACAAAAAAATTGACTAACCTATTGGTAAGTTACATAAGTCCTACCCAAGCATTCCATTCTAACGAATCTTTTAACCTATCAATCACATTTATTACAATCGTATGATCAAAATTGTCAAATTGATTCAATTTATACAGACTTTAAAAAAGCTTTCGATAAGGTGAATCATAACATTTTATTATGCAAGTTAAAGGCTTTTGGTTTTAATGGTTTATTTTTAAAATGGATCACCTCCTATCTAAGTAACCGCTCTCAATCAGTTAAACTTTCATTCCATGTCTCTAATGATTTTCACGTACCATCAGGTGTTCCTCAAGGTTCGCATTTGGGTCCACTACTTTTTCTAGTTTTCATTAATGATTTGCCTCGGGTTTTTAATAATTCTATAAAATTATTGCTTTTTGCGGATGATGCTAAATTGTTTTGCTCGATTCAATCTATATCAGACTCTGTGATATTACAAGATCAGCTAAATAAGTTTTATACTTGGAGCGTGAATAACTGTCTTGAATTAAACATTGACAAGTGTAACATTATTTCATTTACCCGTTCCAAAAACCCAATTATATTTAACTACAAACTTAATAATACAAAATTAGTCAGAGTAACTGAGATTAAAGACTTAGGAATATATTTTGAATCAGATTTTTCTTTTAAGTTCCATCATAAGAACATTTTAAATAAATCCTATAGAATGCTAGGCTTTATTAATAGGAATACACAACATTTTAAGCAGCCTTCTAGTTTGAAAACTTTATATTGCTCGCTCGTACGATCTTCACTAGAGTTTGGATCCATAATTTGGTCACGAAACCTGTCTACGTACTTGAATGATCTTGAAGCGGTCCAATATAAATTTTTGAAAAGAATAGCTTATGTCTCTAATATGCCTATCTCTAGTAATTTATTTAAACCCGTCCAACACTCAATAGGTCTGGATTCGATTGATCTAAGAAGACAACTCTCTGATTTATTATTTATATATGATCTATTAAATGGTTTCATTGATTGTCCACATCTTCTGGCTTTATTAGGTATCAAGGTTCCCACTTTTTTCTCCAGGACTAATGATTCATTTGTCATACCCTACTATCGAAAAAGTTATGGTGCCAATTCATTTTTCCCTCGCGCTCTGTCATTAGCTAATAAAATATCCCCATCAATAGATTTTTTTGATTCATGCTTCAAATTTAAGCTCAATGTTTTATTAATATTAAGATGCATTAACGATGTTTAAAAGTTTATATTATTTTTCATGTAAGTAATAGTTATATTTCTCTAGTTGTACTTTGTTTTTTGTTTTTTGCAATCATAGTATTTAAGTTTCCGTTCTTGTATTTGTCAACTTATTATATCATATGTTCAAAGGGCTCAAGCCCGTTAAATCAACCAATAAATAAATAAATAAATAATAATTTTTTGGGGCATTTTTTTGTTTTTTTTTGCATTTTTAGAGGATTTCATCATTTTTAGAGCATTTTTTGACGGTTTAAATGCATTTTTTAATTTTTTAGGACATTTTTGACCTATTTGTCGTTTTATGACTAAAAAAATTGACCTCATTGAAATATAAGTACTACATAGTAATATAGTACTACGTAATAAAAATTATTTTCATTTTGAACTATTTGAACTAATTTAACATCAGGTTTTCCGGTTTTTACAACCTTTATGTCACACCATCCAATTAGCCGATATTATCGGATTATTTTCTTATCGAGCGATATTATTATTTCGGTGGTGCGTGTGGCCGATTGTCGGGCGCTTTCAGTCGTGTTGCGTATTACGTCGAAGGTACTTACTTTGTTCCTCATTTTTTAATAATAATTAAATTTGAATTTATTTAATAAATAATGCATTTTTTGAAACGTCATTTTTTGATATTTTTTAGAGTTTTTAGGTCATAAATGCATTTTTTGAAAGGGCATTTTTTTGATATTTTTAGGGCATTTAAATCCGAGCCCTAGTGATAAACTATGAGGGCTGTGTCACGATCACGGCTATAGTATCTATAGCCAAAGAATAATGCCGTGGTTGCTGTTGACCTCCACAATCGACGGTTTACGCGCCAATTTTTGAACGGAGCATTTTGTTATCATTAATAATTATTATTTGATACCACGGTCCACGGACTAAGATATATGTTTATTACTTACTTGTTAGGTTATATCTTAATATTTATTGGAATAAGGGATTTATCTAATAATATAAATACAGAAGATATTTTAAATGTATTTGCCGAAAAAGAACGGAGAATTTTGTTAAAATAAATATATTCTAAAAATGTAATAGGTGCTTTGTATTTTTATATATCCGTAACGATAGTTGCTCAGTGGGTGGGGGATTTTATGGAGAGCGTTTCCCTCCAACATTTGTTTTACTTAATATATTAAGACCTTTGTGGAGGGGGGCTTGAGTCCCCCCAAAAAATTTAGTCAATTTGCGCCTATGCATCCATTATACAGTGACCCACTTGTAACCTACAGTACAGCAGAGCGACATCCACTTACCCACCTTTTTTTAGTTTTTTTTTCTATGAATATCAATAAAGTTTTATCTGTTGGGTTAAAAAGTGTAAAAATGTAATACAAGGCTCCTGATAAATTGTCACAATAGCAGTTGAAAAATATTAAAAATACACAGGCACAATTTTTTTTTATAAGCATTTAAAGATCGAATATTGACAAAATGTATCAAATTTAAAATTGAATAATTATCTTTTAGTTAAAAATGTATAAAATGTTCAACTATTATATCTAAGGAGTGAAAATTTAAAACAAGATTCCACGTAAGCAGTTAATTCTGTTACCAAAAAATCTAAAAAATACATAACGACAATTTATTTTTATAGTCATTTTAAGTTCAAATTTGGACGAAATTACATAATAAAAAACCTAGAATAACTATTTTAGTTATTTTGTTGTGATTGTATAATATTATTCGTGGCTACTTGAAACTTCTAAAGTACACTATTTTATACCTATGGACTATGATAGCACAGAATAGATTAAAAATTAATCTATTAAGTAGTATTAACACAGATATATATAATATTATATATATCTGTGTCTATTAATTTAATTTAATCTATTCTGTGATGATAGTATCAGGGTTTGTTGTTGACGTATAACTCGTTATATGTACCCACAGACTTCTATACTACACTAGATAAGGAACTCTTATACAATTTACATTGTTACAAGTGAAGCTCAGCTGTGAACGGCCGCCATTTTGTCGGTTGGCAAAACATTTCATTTATTATACAAAATGTATTAGGAATAATATTTTTTTTAACGGTCAAATAAAATAGTAAATGTAAAATGACTTATATAAAGTATTTTTTTTTTTGTAACCTAAATGTTTAGAAATAATAAAATACGATATAAAAT